ACTAAACCAAATACTCATATTATTTATCAATAGTATTAAGCGTTTTCTAACAACCTTAAACCTCATAATAGGCTTTAAAGTATATATTGTTTCCTTTTCCTAACATAATTGTTCAAAACACTTATATTTTCTTTCCTTGCAATATAGATTTAGCTGACCTTTTATTTTGACCTCGACGTTATAAAATATTTAATAAACTGATTTTCCCGAACGCGGTTATAAACTAATCGCCAAGAAACGTGGAAATCAATCGACTTTTGCTAATAAATGACCTTATTATCAACCTGATTATCGAAGTCAGGTCTATTGGGTTTATTCGAAAACTAGACAATTCAGTCACCCAAAACAATACTTTTTTAATTTGTGTGATACAAAAGTATAATTTCATTACTATTGCAACAAATAATAACACTACTTCTAACGTTTGTTACCCCTCGCAGAACATAGGTCGCCAACCAGGATTCTCTGACCAATACTGTTCTCAAATCTCCTTTCCAATTGCTACGCACTCTTTTGATATCTCCCTCGAATTTCCAAATCAGTGTGTTCTTAGGTCTTCCATTTCACCTTTTACCTTCAGGATTCCAGGTTTGGGGTGGCCTCTTGATGCAGATTGATAATTTCCTCAATACATGTTTTATCCACCCCTAGGGTCTTTTCTTAATTTTCCCTTCAGCTGGAAAACGGTTTGTTCCGTCAAGTTATATCTCAGCATTTATGCAGCTACTTGGTTGGTCCTTCTAGTTTCCTACATTGTCCGGACATTCCATGTACCTAAGAGGGCCATCGATCTCGTGATTTACGAAGAATCACGTCTTTTACCATGAGGCGTCATAACTCTTCTAAATGAAGAGCCTTCAATTCTCAGTACAGAGTTTAAATGGTTTAGTTTTTTTTTCTAGTTAGTGTGTTTTACCAAAGTCGTGTTCTACGGAATGAAGTTTTGATCCCATGTTGAAACCCCTCTTCTATCTGGGCTTGGGACCGTCAGTAGACCTGGAATGGCTGCAGGCAGAGTTATAGTTTCATAATAATAGAAAGTTTTCAAATAGGAAAATGCGAAAAATGTTTTATTATAGAAGAATCACTGTCAGGATACCATGAAATTTATTTGTTTACATGTCTTATCTCAAACATTATTTCCAAATTAATCAAGACTGATACATTTATTAAAGGCAGGAGAAATCGCAACGGTTGAACTCTCGATACATTATTCTTAAACGTTCTACTTGTCATATTTTTCTGTAGACACTATGATTTATGTTTGTATTTCATAACATTAAGTGTGGAATACAGATAAATTTTGTTGTATCTTAGAAAAAAACATTTTTTTCCTACTAAAATAATGCTGCTCAGATAGCGGAACTGAAATAAAATTATAACATCAAAGTACCAGCTGATTCTAAAACTCTAGTTACAGTGAACTTCACTTTGTTAATCAACTGGCCTATTTAACTGACTGACCAACTATCAAGCCATATATGAGTTAGATGGAACTTCGAGAAAACAGGACCTACATTTTCGATTATATCAAGATGGTGTTTATCTTGCACCAATAAATAGTATTTATATTGTCAGCATAAAAAAACGAACGATAAAGATGTACTAATACTAAAATGCTTGCTATTCAGATGTCGGATAGGAAGAGGACAAAACATATGAATATTTTTTTAGTATAATCCTAGTCATTCATGTTTGAGTTACATAAGAGTATACTTTAGAACTACAGAAAACTTCATAAGAAAACAGAACTAGATAAACTGCCAGGTGTAACTACTTTATTGTTTATTTATAATTTGAGAAGATAGCTACGCTAGAATAACAAGTAGTCATCACCATTTTCAATCCATTGAATAATCCCCAGAATGACTGAATAAGAAAGCGATAAAGCCTACCAAACGTTCATTTGGTAAAAAATGCTCAAATTCAATCACTATGTACAAGTTGCAAGTAAAACGTTTAATTTATAATAGCTTACAAATTACATCTTTTTCTAAATAGGAAAACATTCACAAACTTTGCTAATATATTCAAATAAACACGTTGAAACGATCTGTCTAGATGATGTGTAGACACAAGTATTGCACACGCAAAAATCTAAGGAATGTTTATACGCTTATTTTACACGAGTCCAATTTCATTTCTCTAATTAACTTGAACACTTCAAAACCCGAATTCTCTTTCCAAATAATTTTGATGTTTATCTTCCATTTCTGATACAACACATGTGTGAGTGACAAAGAATTTAAAACAATCGTCTACTTCTTAAACTCATCAATTGTACGCATTCGCCTCCCAACCAATGTGATTAAATATTACATGTTGTTTAGAAAAATAATAAACTTGGTGATTAAATCAACCAAGAAAGCGTGAACACAATACATTAGAAACGTAAATTCAAATAATTTAAACTGGAATCATTTTTGTTTTCTTCTAATGATAACCAGAGTTTTAATAATAATTATGTATATTATTGTTTCATACTGGATACATGTTGCTTCTTTCGAATAATTTTGGATAAATCTTATGTCATAAATCACTTATTTATTCATAATTGATAATTAGTTAGCTATTAAGTGGTTTTCCTTTCTTTCAAAAAAATAATTCCAAACTAGAATCACATTGTTTATGTCATATTTTAAAAGAAAGTGATGCTTAGAAAAGAATCAGATATTAGTCAATTCCATGTTTTTTAAAATGTACTTATGATATATTAGAAATGTATGTTTATTGGATAGTCTGATCCGATAATATTACACAATGAAAATGGATAAATTACTATATCAGTAGTGTTGGAGACAAATATGTACTTACATATAAAATCATTATTTTTCCAAAATTATTGAAATTACAATAATATTCACAAAAACCTCTTCTGATAATAATCATCTGCTCACTGGTGACTGACCTCAAGAGACACTCCTTGAGTTCTAGTGAGTAGCCGTGACCAGTGGAGTTCAACCACGTCTGTTGTGAGATATCAGCTCACTGAAAACAATGGTGACGGTGGTCTAGAGGTTAAGCGCTCGCGCGCGAGACTGGTACGTCCTGGGTTCGAATCTCGCAAGGGGCGGAGTCATGGACGCTCACTGTTGAGGAGTCCCACAATAGGACAAAACGGTCGTCCAGTGCTTCTAGATTTTCCATAGTGGTCTAGCTTTAATTGACTCATGATCTCAACTATTGAAAATAGCGAGTTATTTAAAGACATTTTAGACGATTGTTTTAATCTTCATATTCAGCAAATAATTATCAATGTTCATGTTTGTTTTAGACGAAATTTATTTAACAATTGAATTATATACGTGACAGATAAGTATGAAAAATATGATTAGCTAAATTATGTAATTGTGAACAAAACAAGATTGCTGAAGATTGAACTGGTTTTCGATTCAATTTAGTTGTTTTTCTACTATTTCAAAATGTAGTTATAAAAAGAAACAGTAATGTATTCAATAAGTTATCCGTGACAATAGAATTGACTTCGATTGAAGTTAAATGCAAACAATTATGTCGTGTTTCTTTGATTTGTTTTTTATTTTCGCTTTTAATTCAATATATTATATCAGAAGGGGTTTTGTGGAAATTTTAGTAATTTCAATAGTTGAAATCATGAGTCAATTGAAGCTAGACCACTATGGAAAACCTAGAAGCGCTGGACGGCCATTTCGTCGTGATATGGGACTCCTCAGCAGTGCGCATCCACGATCCTGCTCCCCGCGAGATTCGCACCCAGGACGTACCATCAAGCACTTAACCTCTAAACCACTGAGCTGGCCGGCATCCTACGGTGTTAATGTCTAACTTCAACCAATCCACGAAGTTGCGCCACCGTCACCATTGTTTTCAGTGAGCTTATATCTCACAACAGACGTGGTTGAACTCCACTGGTCACGGCTACTCACTAGAACTCAAGGAGTGTCTCTTGAGGTCAGTCACCAGTGAGCAGATGATTATTATCAGAAGGGGTATTGAGGAGATTTTAGTAATTTCATTAGTTGAAATCATGAGAAGTCCCATACTAGGACGAAACGGCCGTCCAGTGCTTCCAGGTTTTCCATGATGGTCTAGTTTCAATTGACTCACGATTTCATTATATTATAGTTTATTCAAGTTTTATTCGATTGAACATGATCATTGCAAAAATATTTTACTTTTATTCAGTAGTCTATTGAACTGAACATTTTCTTATCCCAATGAAATCCAAATTATTTATTGTCTACGCATTTTTAAATGTTAACAATTACAAGAGAACAGAAATGCATTAAACTTTGTATGGAATAAATCAATTAAATCATACCTACAATCGTTATTGAGAAGCTTTATGCCTCAACGTTATTGTTTTTTATAACTTTAAGTTAAAATTTCTAACAATGGACCGAAACAAGTATTATAAAGATAAAACCTATGATCATTAACCCTTAATCGAAATATAAGTGTGTGAAAATACTATACATATAATTACTATATATTATAGATAATCACTATGTAATCTGTCAAGACTTGTTTTTATCAAATTGTAGCTTTTTTTAGATAAACAAACAAATAAATACATTATACTAGTGATTCAGTGTATAGAATACCCTACTGATCGGAGGTCATTATAGCTTAATTATCGATGTTAGTGATGATATAAGCTGAAAATAATCACACTGATAATTTCAGGCTTAAATATTAATCATTTATTAAAATTTGATTTATATACTACTAATTAAAAGATAATAAAAATTCTTTATTCAATCATAAATTTCAGCTATACCTTATTTTCTAGTAAACTTACACTCTTATTTTGATATTATTTACAAATTTTCATATTAAGAGTAACACCAACAAAATACCATGAGATAGTAAGACAGCATGAACTATATATGTCTGCCTTAACAACAAATTCAGTCGAAATTAATTGTAATTTAGTGTATTAATTCTTAGATCATTCATGCTCATATATATATAAATATATATGACGTAAAGTGATTTACTCTAATTTATTTGTTTTATAGGTGATAATTCATGTGTACGTTGTCTACGTAGTTCACCGATTGCATCTTTAGTTGGTTTCATTATTGTATTATTGGGCGGTGGCGCTTTTGGTGGAGCTATCATTTTTGCGAGACGTTATTTAATTACACTTTTAAATGCTCCTAATCTGTGAGTTGTTTGTTTATCTATATGTTGCAATAAATATATTAATTTTTTTAGTAAAGTTGATTTGTATGGTTAAACTTTGATACAAGTTGAAAATTTTTGTATTTTCCAATGATGTTTTAGGAAATTTAATATAGTTCAACGATGTTTATACACAACATGTATAACGATAATATCAGGAATAACTTTAAGCCTTGTATTATCAACAACAGTAAAACTCAAAATGGATAACTTAAGCCTAGCCAAGCTTTCCTCATTATGTCCTTCCATAATTATGAAAAGTTACTTGCATCTTTTTCTCATACATCATTTCAACAACATTCGAACATGACATTTAAATTTCGGACACAAAACTATACCTTATCTATGTTAGTACACACCTAAAAGTACACCAAGCATTCATAAGCTCCCAATGATTGGTCGGAAATATAGAGCGTATATTTTAAAAAATGTATTTATTTTTACATAGATGTGAATATCTTCACCTAATAACGGCTTTTAGATTGATTCAAGATCAATACTTCGTGTGTCAACAGGTCATGAAGTAGTAAGATATAAATTAGTGCATATTTTTGTGACTGATCGTGAACCTATCGACAATCTTATTGAAACTGTTTATTAACTCACAGAATTATTTAAAATAACATTCTTCCTTCCCTAAATAAAATTCAATCCCTATATTTTCACTTCTCTTTTTCTTATTTTCATCCTAAAACATAAATAATAATTACATTTAATTACTTTGTTCGTTCAAGACTCAAATAAAAACTCTTGTATTACATACTTTAACTGACCAATGAATTCGTAAGCATAATTATCCAAAGGAGAGGGTTTTTGTAGATAACAAACGATTATTATATCTCACAAGTCTGTTGAATACATAATCAAATTCCAAATTATCAGAAACATAGTTTCTGCAATTAAGAATTTTAAATATTTTAAAATTTTGTATGCATAATTACTACAGTTACTCAATAATTAACATCAGTAAGATTGATATACATACTCTAGTGGTAGTTTCAATGATTTTTGCTCATTGTCATATTCGAGATGAAATGTTCAAATACATGCATATACATCAAGGCTAACGAAGGCTGTACACTCTTAGTACATTCCAAATCATTATGACATAGATTTTAAATGCAGTTTTAAAATGAAATCTAAACAAAATTGTTTGTGATTTACACCTTCATAAAAGTTACAGCTAACATTTCTGTAGTAAAGATTTCTTTTAATTGACCTATTTCAATCACTTGTCATGAATTCAACTGATAATTTATACCAACCTAAATACAAACTAATGATCAATCAGATTATTATTATTACTATTATTACATCAGTATACAGTATGGATGGCTCTAATCAAGTTGATATTTATTACAGGAAACATTTTTATAACCTACTATGCTCATACTATATAAATTACATATATTTAAACATTGCTATTAATGATTTGTAAACGTTTGCACTAACTCGTCGTTGATGTTAAAGACTGAGTCTTGGTCAGTCTAAATTTATAGGTAGTGGTTACGTGAAAATTAACACTGTGATCCAGATATATCTAGTTTATGAGTCCTAAGAACAAAGAGTTCATACTGGAACTCACTGCTAACCATGATCTAAGTTTACTAACCAGTGTTGATTTACAAAATAGGAAGGATTAGTAATTGTGTATCTCATTATTTTATTACTTATCTGTAGATTCCCTTACTTGGACTATGCTATCTATGGTTTAGTCGGAGCAATAGGATTATTTTCACTGTTAGCCTACTTACTATGTGCTCTGTCTTCCGGTTGGAATGCGAAACACTACTTTGAAAGTAGCCGAAAAGCATGCTGCGGAAGATGCTGTAATATGACGGTAAGTCTTAGATTTTGTGTAAATTTAGGTCAAAAGAATGTTACTAGTATTCTTCAGAGGTACCCTCATAATTAAACTTTGAAAAATAGAAATATATTCGTCCGAATTAGATAGTCACAGTTTCTAGGAATATATCCATTGGTTCAATCAATCAGACGATCATTGAAAAACCTGGATTGTTTTCCAAAGTTAATGCTGCAACTCAGTTTTTAAGCATGATAATCGACTGTATAAAAAATAGGCCTTTAGACTTAAAATTAGTGACTATTCTAATGACCGGGATTTCTAACTTCGATAAATACTTTATGCAACATAGTTACAATTGGGAATCATACCACTATAAAAACTATCAGAAAATACTGGGAGGTTACTTAAACGACTATATGCTTTCGTAATCTTTCTGGGGATACTAGAAAACAACCTACCATTTTTCTTAATAACTGTTAAATTTACAATGTTTTAACTAAAAATACTTATATTTTTAGGTTAGTGTTCCTTAGCATCAAAACTCTTCCATTATAAGCCTATCTAAATGTATTAACTTTATAGTAGAGAAATTTTGATGGTCATTGAGTAATTCCTATATCAAAATCATGTAAATACACTCATAACTGAAAGGAATATAGAAATAGATAGTATTCAATTTTACGAATTTTAACTCTTCTTTTAGGACAATTGATTAACAGAAATATAATTTTTGCCTATCCGTTTTTTAAATAGAAAATCACTGATGTACTTGATTTCTTTATTTTGTTCCTCATGATTCACCTATCATCTTATCTTCACTTTGATTATTAACTTAAAATCAGATAAACAAGATCCATGACTTGTATATGTTGCATTTAAGTGTTCAATAGATTTCAATTTCTTAAAGTTACTCACTTGCTTGAAATTTCACTGACAGAAATTTACGACCATTTCTAAAATTGTACTAATTATCACTGAGTAAACTTCAAATAAATACAGTAATTTACCATTAGCCCCCAAATGCCCTGGTACGGCCGAGAGTGGGGAGAGTCCGCTCTCCCTCTCGAAATGCTCTCACATGGCCACGCGTATACAGCCCCTGCCAGGGAAGTCCTACTCACTGCCTTCTCGTGGCGGGGGTGTTGTTAACGAAAATGAGAGGACGAAAAGCGAATGTCCGGCGCTTTAACCGGATCCCAAACCAATGATGCACATGGGCTCCAGTATCCTGAAGGAATAAATGGCGTATGAACCAATTGTTGGTCACCGGCTTCCATGGGACTGCGTCTCTTTACGATGCTCCACTGCCTTGTGGATCAGATCTTCAGGTCAAAGGCTCGGGATGTGGCCCCCTAAGAAAACCACCTGCTTCTGTTTGGGCACCCGTGCAGTATCACAGCCCCACACATATCCAGTGAGATTCGTGTGGCGCATATGTAATTGGTGCCTCCTTGTACCGATATCTATGTGTTAAAATAAATAAATAAATATATAATTTACCATTAACATGGCTTCAATCCCTAAAGTTAGTTTTGTTAATTCAATCACGTAATAAAATACTCCTAAATAGTCTTGTTTTTAGTTAAGAGTATAACAAGAAAACCTAGAATAAAAATAATAATTATCTGAATACTTACTTGAAATTGTGTATTTCGGTTAGATAGTTAATTTAAACGCTTCTTAAAATGTTTACACTTAGTTGTTCATTGATGTTTACTCTCACGATTATCAGCTATTTTACAACTCAACTGATCGCTAGTGGTCAATAAACAATGACAATTCAAATAATTTATTTATATTGTGCTTATCGATTTGCACTATTTTCATAAAATAACAAAAAATGTTGAAGTTCTTTTTTTGTGACTCAGTCAACTTCAGCTCTCAAATCGAATTACTAGATGTAAACTTTAAAGGCTCCTAGTATATATTGGAGGAGAAACTCTATTCTGTTTTTTGGAAGAGTACTTCAAACCTAATATATGGTGGAAAATATTTGATTTATGATAACCGGATATTGACTATTCATTATTTCAGATAAAACGGTACTATTTTGTCAAGTTTCACTGCGTCCATAAAAGTTGCATGTTTTGCTTATGCTTAATATACCTGTAAATACTCTTACAAGAGTAGTTGAACAAAAAAGCTAGTGAAAAGATTTATCTTGTCCGTAATTCTCTTACTCTATCAGTAGTAGTTTGATCAAGAATCTATAAAAGACTGGATTGTATCAAATAATTCTCTATCTATCTAATCTAGTCCGTAAACTGATTTTTGTTGAAAGATACACATATGGGCATTGTTAGTCTGAAGAACTTACATCTAGAAACACGTTTCAAAACGGTGGCAAGTAGTTACTTTTTTGACATTCTAATTACGCTAACAAAGAAAAATATTTGGCAAAACGAATACGTTCATTAATTCCTCAATAAAAATGACTCATAATAAAGTATACAAAACAAAATAACAGAAAATTCGAAACAAATTTTCGGACACATAGTTTACAAAACTGTAATCATTAAATCTGTAAATACGGTCATTCTGTCTCATTTAACGAACATAATGTTGATCTGGCAGTTACAATAATAACCATGTACATGTTTCTAATCGATAAAACTTTATCAAATATGTTGAATTGGCTTAGTTTATAATTAAGTTCATCCTTTTAAAATTAAGTTTTACAAGTGTCTAAGTTCTTCGTTCAACTATAAACAACAAAACAAAAATAGAACATTTATCATTATTTTCATATGTAAATATTTATAACCATTATTCTATGGAAACCAAATGTGTTTAATTAGCTGAATGTAAACACTTAACACACAATGACCTTCATATCAATGTACAGTCCAAAACATCTAGAATTAAGGGAAATAATATCTTTTAGATGAAACACTATCTATCTACATTTCAAAACAAACAAAACTAACCCGATCTAATGTTGGATAAATAGATCAAAAATAGAATAAAAAGTATGGTTGTGATCATTTCTATGAATAAGTGTCTAACGCCAAGATATCTTTCGCTAATTTTGGATTCCGATAATGCTCACACGAACTTTCGTCCGAGTATCATTTGACATACACGCAAGTATACGTTACATACACATCGATAACACATAGGTTTTATCCCACAGCATACACATAGGTATATTCACCCACTTGGGATGGTAGATATTCACCGATACCAATGAAAACGTATTTGCTACACCAGACTTACTCTTACACATTATATGCATATCATTCACACTACGACTACCGCCATATTACTTCCCGACGCACACATAAGCATAAGCACTCTCTCAAAGGAGTTTATTAGTCGCCTCTTTCTAGTATTTGCTATCACCTCTATTTGTTATATCTTCGATATGATAGACTAAGTCTCTGATTTTATTAGACATAGTGCAGACAATATTTCAGCTAACGTTTCTATTACACGACACCATACGCATGTTCTTGGCGTACATCTACACACATGAACTACATGGGCCCGAGAACTGCTGTAATTCTTATACATGGGCATACACATCAGGTGGCCTGGTGCGGTTAAGTGGGCCTCCAGTTGGAACCTGAGTTACTAAAGGATGCAATGAGGTGAGTGATTAGCCCGATCTCCGTCGTTGTAAGATTTAACAGTTCGTAAAAAGTCAATAGATAATACAAAAAAAAAATGTTTTTGCTCGATCTGTATTTTGTTTGTTAATTCCATAAATCAATGAAGAACATATTATTTTCTATGTACATTAAAGAATATCAGAATAACTGCACATTAACTGTCTACCAGGCTTTTAATGAATATTATGATCATCGTCATCACCGTAATCCGTAATTAACAAATCTGTCCACAAAACATCAGTTATATTAGTGTACATCCTTTAATTGAGAACTAAATCAAAATTTCTATTTTGTATATGTTTTTAAACTAATTACTTAATGCTATTAAGTTTACTCACCTTTATCTTTATTTATCAAAAGAAAAACATTATTTTCATCTCTATACATAACACTAAAGCGTTTTAAAATTCATTATTATTACTATTACCATTATTAATTATTTCCATTTTGTTTATTTACATATATTAGAATAACATACCCACTTTAATTACTAAACACATGCAAATGTGAATCATCATTTAGTATATTACTCTTTACAGTATTAAACAAAATAACCAGAAATCAATTTGTTTATTATTGTTGTTGTTTTTGTTTTTGGAAGTATTGGAATACAATGGAAATTTATCTATACATCAAAAAAATGAAAAGCTTAACACTTCTTTTTATTTTATTATTGATGGGGAAAAATAAAAAAAAACCCATATATGACAAAGGTAATTTTCTAAAAGCATTAAAAAAACCCAGGACAACAAACACTATTTCTTATTCATTATTTCCGTTGTATTTCACTTCTTTATTAAATATTCTTAAAATGTGTTCTCATATAAAAATGATTCAGATTTCATAGAAGAGGATAAACTGCTTAAATTTTATGAAATAAATTAAAAGTGTCCATAAAAATACGTTCTGAAGTGAAACATCAAAAACTTAGTCAAGCAAAAATGAAGAAGAAGAAAACACAAAGCATGCAGAAAAAGAAGAACAAGGAGAAAACAAACCAAAATCAGGAAATTGTTAAAAAAAGTCAACAAGAAATTTATTCTACAAAAGAAGATGTTATGGAAAATATAAGTTAATAAATAGTTCAATAAAAAATTATCATCTCGGTATAACTAAATCATCACATCGTGTATTGATAAGACTCGTGTACAATGTTAACATATATTGTAATGAACAAGAACACCAATGGGGACAATCGAATGTATTTGACAACAAATTACAGTACTTGTTAATAAAATCTAACAATCACATATTAAATGCCAAAATCTCCATCAATTGTCTCAAAATGACTCAGACTTCATTGTTCTTGCATTTTCATACAAATTACATTCTGTCTTCATTCTTTACTGTTTGATCTTCTTGTCTGTGCTGCCAGACATCCTGTTCACGAATAACATCATATGCTACTTATGTCTACATAAGTAGCACACACCACAATATTACCGACTTTACAGTATGACTGCCTTAAGGACTAGATATCCCTTTATTGACTTATTTATGATGTTTGGGTAATATTTTTAGTTACCCTCTATGTAGATGAGTTATATAAATAATTTAGACATTTCACAAATGTTTTGTTGTGTCTATGTTTGAATATAAAATCTATTTTGATTTATAAGTTTGTAGTGATAGGTTTAATTTATAGACGATCTCATTATTGATTGACATCAACTATTGAGCTGACAATATCAAGTTCAAACCCAATTGTTTAAAGGTTGTGGCCTTGGTTCTCCAAGTGCGATAGGATTCCTAATCCTGGGATGTAATATACTAGGGTAAACAACTATTCACTTTGCCATGGTTCTCTCTAGTTTATCAATTGATATTAATCTATGACTTAAATTTGTTAACAGATGAACTCTTACTGTGTGATTGAGTTTTTAATCTAATATTCATATTATAAACAGGATCATGATTAGGCCATAGTAACTCTGAACCAAAACGAAAGTTATGAAGTTATCATACTTAATAAAACACTCGATTTTTGAGTTATATATATATATATATATATATATATATATATATATATATATATGTAGTTTGGATTAATGTGTTGCTGTCCAAAATTTGATTGCTGTTATCGTTTCTGGAAAATATGGGAGAGAAAAGCGTGCTTTTCTCTTCCCTTTTTTATTCCCCTCTCCATTTTATATTTTCTATGCCCAGTGGATGAAGGAAGTGAACTCGGATTATCCATATCATCTAATAATTGTTGCTTTCATTAACTCCTACTCCTATTTTATGTTTTTCTTTGTTTCATTTCATTATTTGCTTATTCCGTTGCTTGCTTCTAAAAAACTACTTTTCTCATAAATGTAACATTTTTATTCTGTTGTTATTATCTTTTTCCTATTTGCATTTCATTAAAATAAGAAGTATCATTTCAAATTAATCAGTCAATCACAATGCAAATAAATTGACTAACTCTTCTCGTGTTCATCAATCAGTTCATTTTAACCTACTTAAAGGAATTAATGTCGTGGAATCTGTTATCAATATATATTTTGGTAATATTGTTTAAATAAAGAATAAATATTGAAAACAACGACATTTGTGACACGTTGTATCGCTACTTTTTTCTCAAACTTTGGTCCAAAATCAGTAAATCTTTTTACTCGATTCACAAAGCTTTAGAACTAGATTGAAAAGAACTCAAAATGTATTTCGTGATTTTTAGTACTAGAATTCCATATACTTCATTTAATAGCTTTATTTCAATGTGACACATACTGTTTAATCTTTATATATATATTTATAAACAGAGATTATAGTGGCTAGCAATGGAATCCAGGACGTGAGTTTCATTTTATGTTGAACTCATCAGATGGATGTACCAGCATCCCAGAGTTGTTCACTCCAGGACTCGAACCCATTTCCATTCACTTCAAACGCCATCATGTTATCTACTTAGCTACTGAGTTCAGACAGCTACTATATTGTGCAATGTGGCAAAGTTTAATTAATCTTTGCATTATTTGTTCAAATAGTCACCATCCATCTTTGCTTGTAATGCATCGAGGCAATCCGCAAAGTATGCTCATATTCCTATAGGAGACTGATCAATTGCAGTTCTAAACATCAATGAAGAGATTCAAACAACCAATGCAAAAATGAATTAAATTTATTTCTGCCCTGTATTTATTTACTTATTTATTTTTCACTTGTATTAACCAAAATGTTAGATAATTTGTATGTCAACAAAAACTGATATCATATAGTAAACGAGTCATTTTCTAAATAAAAATGTTTTGGTCAACACTTATCCATTAACTGAGAAATCATGTCTATATATTTTTCATTATTACATCACCCGATAATTCAAAATTTATCTAATATTGTAAACTGAAATGATTGTTTTAGACAATAGAAGTGGTTGCATATCTTTGCCTAATATTTTCAAGAGGTCATTGTAATGGTGAGTGCTCATATTTAAGATTATTACCAGTCATTTGCATTTATTTTCACTACCTATAAGTTTTTCTATTTATCTCTCTCATCTTTTAGCTTATCATACTTTTAGTAACGGCTGTCATATTGTGGTCAGCTATTGCATGCCTAGTTAGTTACCCAGTCGTCAGTATTGCACTCTTGTTATATCGAAATGAAGGACCTAGTCGTTTAAGACTAGCCTCTGTCGGACAAATGACTTCAGCTTACCATGATGGTCAAGTGAATTTTCTTAGTCCAAGCAGTAGTTATACACGTGAAATGTTCAATTCCAATAGGAAAATGGTAAAACGACGTGATACAGAAGAATGGTTTCCTAATCATCCTAGTGATTTTGATGCAGTTGAAAGTACTATTGCCATACCGGATGATATTCAAGAAAACCTTCAAACAGACCCATCTAATTTAAGTAGAGACCTAACAGCTACGGTGACAAGTCCAAAAATGGTCGACCAGCCACCACCGGTGATAAGTTCATTTGCTGATGATAATTTATCATCATCGTCAATACCATCGAAATTGTCTTTAAAACCCTTGTCAAAAAAAATTGTAAAACAAGTAATGAATGATGCTCTTAGTATTCCAGAATCTATCAAATTGTTTCATCAATGTAGTCAAGAGACATTTGATTTATCTTATTACGGTAAGAAAATCTAATCATCTTTATTCACATATTAAAAGTGCAATCAGAGTATATTTAATTTTCTTAAATTTTTATTTAAACTTAATGGAATAATTTCACAGAAATGAAGCATTTGATAAACAGTATATATATATATATATATATATATATATATATATATATATATATATAACTTGTACTTATTAATGTTCTATTATCAAAATCTTTTCACTTACATAGTGGCATCAACTTGAAGTACATCGGAGCACAAAGTAGTCCTCATATTTTTGTTCAAGAAAACTAACAAACATCCACAAAAGCACTTATCTGATTGTAAATCATATTTTTACTAGCAATGAGCATTTTCATAAATTTCCTGAAGTTCTTATAAGAATCAATCAAACTGGGAGTGAAATTGATTCGCTGATTATATATTTGAGAATTGTGTGATATTTCGCATTAGCTAAAGTTAATACAGTAAATCACAGAATGCTGACTCAACGACCTAAGCCTGTGGTACATATCTTTAGATCATTAGAACTAACCATCTAAATGTGATTAATATAAATAAAATTCATTTATCAATAAGAATTAAACTATCAAACAACTAACTTATATACTTTCATAGTCTTATAATAACTACTTAATTATCGCGGTACTACACGAGTGTTATTATTAAATATAAACTTTATCTAAATTTGATCGAATAGTTACACAGTATTTGGGCGCCAAGTTTATGTGAGACATTAAAAGTAAATAATGTATTTGCAAAAATCTCAGTGAATGAATTTGAAGTAAATCCAATGTTTCACTTAGCAATGTGATCGAAGCTTTTTCAAGTAAATATAATCAAATATCAAAGTTATCGAATATAAATAGGCACATGATTCTCCGGTTTACTGTATACTGAATACCTACTTTCAACATTGTTAACGTTGATTGGATGACTTATTCAGTATACAGTGAACCAGAGAACCATGTATCTATTTATATTCGATAATTTTGATGTTTGATTATATTTCCTTGAAAAAGCTTGAACCACATTGCCAGGCAAAACGTTGGATTTGCTTCACATTCATCCACCAAATGTTATTATTGTTTGGTTTCTTGATTGTATTAGAATATCTTTTCACCTTCTAGTGTACATGTACAAAATGGAGTTCTTCGATTAGTAAATGTTTACTATCGATTCGATAACCATATTAAGTTGATGATAATGATGATAATTACAATAATAATAATAATAATAATAATAATAATAGTCTTTACATTTCAATTACAAAAGTTAAGATTCTTCAAGTATAAAAGTTCTTTGTTTTTTTAAGTATAGACAATATAAAACCATCTTACGAAAAAAAAGTATTCCAATGATATTTCAATAATGAACTAATTATATTTATTCACATCATTTTATCCTTTAAAATAAACCACTCGAAAAAGAAAAGAAAACAGGAAAAATAATTCAATTTCTTTTCATATTTTATGTTTACCTTGATGAATAAAAAAATTATAATAAAAAGAGGAATATTAATTTTGAAATAATAGTACGTTTTTCAGTTGTAAAAATGAAGATAAAAGACTTCTCTTTATATAATTATCTATCCGTATGTAATTGTGTATACAAAAGACAAGTTCAAGAAATGTTCAGTTGAATTAACTTTTTTTATGAAGTTCGTGTCAATTGACGATAAAAACAAAGAAACATTTCATTTTTCTCTTTAATAGAACAGTTTAAATGTATTTACTGGGATGCTATGTTACTAGGATACTGAAAATTGTTGAAATGAAACTGTTTATACTACAAATTCATTTGATATTGTTTGCTTGAATCCTCCCATTAACGTTTAAGACTGCAATTGACCAGACGGTTATTGGAATACGTGTATAATGTGCGTACTGCTTCGATATTGCCTTAATCCACAAGTATTATTAGCAAAAATGAATAGCGGTTAGCAGTGGAATCCAGGATGCGCGTTTCATCCTATTTGGAACTCGTCAGCTGGATGTACCTGCATCTCAGAGTTGATGTTCACTCTGAGACTCCAACCCAGTACCATTCGCTTTCGAGCTTGTGAATTAAGGTAATATCGAGGCAGTACGCACATTATGCACATATGCCAATAACAGACTGATCAAATGCAGTCTTAAACCTCAATGAGAAGATTCAAGCAAACAATACCAAGTGAATTTTGATTCACCCCATTACACAAGCCAATGGATATCAGGACTCGGTAGCTGAGTGGATAACATGATGGCGTTTGAAGCGAATGGTACTGAGTTCGAGTCCCACAGTGAACATCAACTCTGAGATGCAGGTACATCCAGTTGACGAGTCCCAAATATGACGAAACGCACATCCTGGATTCCACTGCTAGCCACTATCCATCTTTGCTTATACTATAGTTTATCCAAGTCATACAGTATTTTTCTTTGATAAAATTTTTTCCCTGAAATCTTAAACAATCTTTATTTATAGAGTTTGTTTAATTTTGCAAAATGAAGGGTATTTATGAAGTTATGAGCAACCTTATATTGTTTATAAACTTATAGAAAATTACTAAGATTCCGAATGAATTTGGCATTTGAGCAATGAGACTAATCAAAAGCAATTTTAGATACTTTATGGCTTTTGATAAATTTTTCATAGAATTATGGATACATCCTCACAATTTCAATAACTTAGTGTCAAGCAAAACTTATAAACAGTGATTAATAGAAGGTTATTTTATCACTAAACAAATCTGTATTTTCGTCAGGTAAAGTTTTCAGCCAAACATTTAGATATTTAAAAGGTTTATCAATATTATCTGCGTATTTAGCAATAATGAAATTCATCATGATAAAGTTGTGTGTGAAAAGTATTACATAATGAGAAAAACCGTAATTCATTCATGCATAAAACAGAACAAATGAAGACAACACACTTTTAGATTAACAGTAATCCATTAGATTTTAGAAAAAAGAGAGCCTCAAATAAAACTAAATAATTAAACTACAACCACACAAAGAAATGACTAAGTAATATTTTAGTCCAGCTATAATCTGAGGATATCAGCTACTTTACGTTTAAGATTAAAAACTCCCAGATATTCAGATAAAATTACTGTAAGAAAAACTATTTTAAATATAAACTGAAAAACTTTTAAAGACTAGAGAACACTGATAACCTGTCTTGACTTCATTTTGAACTTCTCCACAGTGAGCATACAAACTTTATACAGTGCTGACTTTGTAGTGAAACTATACAAATATTTATAAATCATCTATATACAGTGTTGAAAATTAGCCATCATGCTTTTTTGTTTCCTTAAGTATATTTTCAGTGTTTTTACCACTTAGTCATGTCAGTCTACTCATTATTACATATTCTCCATATTACTTATTCGCATTCGTTCTATTTTCTTTCATATCCATGAATTTCCACCAATCATATTTTTTTTTCTGCAAAAGACACTTGAATAATTTAGAATAAAGAATCTTTGAATTCCCACTTTGTTTAACCATGAATGTCCATACGATTCACTTTCGTCAGATCAAGAAAATTAATTTGTTCAATGCATCTTTCTTCATGTTGTTGTCGATACATTATACAAAACAAACAGTCAAAACTAATATAAAATATTTTAAAAGTTTACTGAAAAGTTTTTAAATAACATGGTATATAATATATCCGTGTATGTGCTTCATTATTGTGATCTTTGCTTTATGTTTTGTTTTTCAACTAGGTCTATACGATGCCAATGGTTTACCGATACACATTGCACGAGCTAATTTCTCTGAAAGAACATATGACATTTTAGTCTGTGTAATTCTCGCTATCGCTGGTATATTCCTATTACTGTTCGGTTATGTAAGTATATATTTATATTTTATATTTCAGAAAAATTAGGTACCGTTTAAATAAAGCTGTAGGATATTTTGCTACTTACTATGTATAAGTAGTAAAATAAGTTAGACTTTGTCAGATCTTCCAGATGTTATTTATTTGTAAGACAATCGTCCGATCAGAAAATTTATTTTGTTGAGAAAAGTTCTTTATTCAGTAAAATGAAAGATTGTTAATAATGTGAATGGTTTTTATTTAAATATGACTTATTTATTTATAAACATAAAGGTGTTTTTGTCCATGACAGTAACGATAAATTCACTTACCTTGTAACTGTATTTATCACACTAACAATAGATCACGCACATCTCCACATTCCTAAACATTTATACAGAAAGTTGGATAAATGGTCACAAGTAACGTTCATTGTTTAATCTTCTAATTCACCTGATCATATTGAGTAAAATACAAGTCCCAAACACGTCTCAAATAGTTATTCTCAGTCGGTATATTTTTACTGTGAAACTGAATAATCAATTATTGATAATTGACTTTAATATGTAGACAGCAGAAGGAAGAATAAATAGTAGACTACAATTAATTGTTTGTTCGGTAAACACAATGAAAATTAGCAAACTATTTCATTAAATAATAGATACCCAGGTTTCATGCTTACCCATTTTCTCATCTCTTCCTGAAAATGAATTATTCATGATTGTATCAAACCTAACGGTTTATGCTACATTATCTTCGTCTCCAATCATGACAATCTTTAGTTATTCAACGAATTATTTAATCTCTATATTGATAATAAGTGAATGAACTTATCAACTGATTTTGTTTCACATTGATATACACGAATATATAAATATTTCATTTGATCCACAATGTCACAGTAGTACAGAAAGATAATTGTTTTCAAATGTCGTCGATTAAAATAAACAGGTGAATTGTCACTAAACAACTGATGATGACAATAATGAACGGGTCAGAAAACACTTGTTTGGTATTTAACAACTGATTAGTTACAATTTCAAAGGATATGTGACATCTACTAAAGTAAAAAACAAACGAAAATAATGCCGGTTCTGTGGTTTAGAGATTAAGCGTTCGTGCGCGAGACAGATAGGTTATGGGTTCGAATTTCACGAGGCGGAATCGTGAATGCGAACTTCTGGGGAGTTCCACAATAGGACGAAACGGCCGTACAGTTCTTCCACTTTTTCCATGGTGGTCTAGTTTTAATCGACTCATGATCTCAAATATTGAAAATAATTTTGTTTATCAAATGTATTTTACAAAACTTTTATTAACATTAGTTAAGTTTAAATAACAAAAATACACTGAAAGAAAAGGCATATGGCTTGGTTCCTAAGATTAAACCTAATAATACAAAAACACGATAACTGTATTGTTGAAGCAGGCTTGTTTAGCGTGATAGTACTTGCAAATCAATTAATAATAAAATTACTTGCCGAGTGGAATAAAAACAGTATGAACTTTTAAATCATTAGTTTTTATTTGCCACATTACATTGAATATTATCTGTAATTACAGTGTCAACTGTGAAGATTAACTAATAACAAGTAATTGTGAAAATACAAGAAGTGTTGGGTGGTGCATATGATTTTAGCAAGAAAGTAATTTGACTTGACGAAACGGCTTTAAGCAAATTTCTACACAATGCTATAGTTTGTGTTGCCTCATAACAATCTATTTTGCAATTTTGAAGTCTTTTATCATCCAGTTAAATTTAAAGTAATTTGGTTATCTGAAGAGATTGTTCTACATATTAAGTCGGAAAAAAATATCATTGGTTAATAAATACAACCTGATGATACTATTGTGCATTTACTAGTATTGTATATTAAATTACATTTTCACTATTTTTGCCAGTAAGATGTTTGTACTCATATTTCTTTCATTCCAGATACAAATAATTATTTGTACCGCTATGAATTATGCTCGAATGCAAGAGGCTAGATATTATGAAACATCTGATGTTGGTGAAGAAGGTGTTGCATTACAACAATAAAATGTATTTCATAAAAAATAATTCTGTAATTCCATTAAATATGATTCATTATGATTTCAACCATACACCTACTATCCTTCACATATGCGACTATCTACTTAAAATTTACAGACAATGTTAATACATAATAGATATAGAAAAGATGATAATTGCGCATTGTATAGTTATTTGAATAAAATAAATGATAAACACTTCCAAAAGACAGTTTACTTAAGAACAAGATGTATGTATTTATGTTCCAAAATAATCAATATAGTGATAGCAATCTTTCTTATCACTAATTTATGTAATATCTCATTATTTTCATCCAATTTTATGTTTTTAATTTTAAACCTATCGTTATTCATGTTGTTTTTTGTACTTGTGTTGTCTGTCATGTTTATTTTTTTTTCTCTTTTTAAATAATCATCCAGTTGAAAAAGAGAAAAAAATAAATCAAACAAAACATTATTTATTTGCTTATTTTTTTTTTCTGTTAAATCATTCCATAGCCATTCATCACTTACCATCTAAATGTTGTTTTCTGTTAGATAATCAAAAGAAAAAATGTTCATCATTTGAGAATACATACACTACACTTTAATCGTTTGAATGATGTTCAATGTTTCAATAAAAAAATATTTTAAAAAAATAATTAGGAAATAATAAAAATTATTTTTTTAAAAAAAAACAACAAAAAAGAGGGAAAATATTTTAATGATATTGATTTGTTAAAAAATATTATATTTCCGCTTTTTATTGAAATCCACCAAACTATGTTGCTTAACGCTTTATTCATTTTACTTTATTTATATTAATTAAATAGTCAACATTATAGTAGCACACGAATACACATAAAAAGCTTCTTTAATATGCTTGATATATATATATATATATATATATATATATATATATATATATATATATATATATAGTTTTTGTAATCAACGTATAAATGTTTATTTTTACCATTTTTTTGTTTTGGTCGTTTACTGATAAACAAGTAATCAATAATAATTCTTAATTATAATCTTTATTTACACAATTTCAAATTTTCATAATTCGATTTTGTTTTGTTTCCTGTTGTTGTTGTTGATTTTTTCATATACTTTACATAATAATCAATGATACTCAACCGATGAATGTTTAATTATTAATGAATTAAGTACACATCAAGTTTGTTCCATATTATTCCTAATTCCCTCTCTTATTATGTATGTTTGTGTTTTCCTTCTTTTTTACTCTGTTTATTTTAATTGATGATTTTCTATAAATTTTTGTTGTTTTTTATAAGAATATTATTATTACTGTCAATGACAACAATAATAATAATAAAATCAGCAGTTTTGTGGATATTATAATAAGTTCAATATTTGAGATCATGAGTCAGTCGAAGCTGGATCACCATGAAAAATCTGGAAGCATTGGAAGGATGTTTCGTCCTAGTATGAGACTCCTCAGCAGTCCGCATCCACGATCCCACCTCGCGAGATTTGAACCCAGGACTTATCAGTCACGCGTACGAGCGCTTAACCTCTATACTAATTTCAATTGACTTATGATCTTAACTGTTAAAATAATAGTAATAGTTTAAATGGTGTTTACACGAATAATGTTTATTCCATAATAGGTGATTGAAAAGTTCGAGATCAGACATCCAGCTTTCATACTAGTTTATACTATTCACTAATCTTCATTTTTGAAGGAATTGATATTTTTTCAGCTACAAACGCTCATCACCTAATGTAATTCAGATTCGTTATCAGTGACTATTCAAGCTACCATTAACATCCTGTAGGACTTACTTGCTTATATTAAGTAATCATTATGTAATTGATACATAATACTTGGGCTTTACTGTGGTACTTCTCGTGTTTCATCTCCTAGATATTTTTTTCAGATGAGAAACTTTGATTTGAAATTTATAAATAATACTTATTGAAATAACAATAAATTAAAACTATTTATGTACTGATCAAATAAGAACATATTGCCTGAACTCCATGAAATTATTCGGTAGAAGATTATCTTGTTTTCTAGAGAGACAATTACAGTGATACATACATAACATGATCAAGTGATTTCAGTTGAAACGACGTTTCAGACTCATAACCTTTCATACCTCTTCCGCATGCAGTTTAACTATTTCATATGACTGAGATAATCAAAGGGTTGCAGTAGTTAATTCTTTATATTCCTATTGGTTACTACTTTTGCTCCGTACATTTAAATCCTGAGAAATAATTAAACAACGCCCGTGATACCACAAATAAGTTCATGAAGATCACTTCGGGCTTTCGTATTTACGCAGATATATTCACCATTTGAGAATTTACCATAGATTATTTACCAATCTAGTTAAGTGAAATTTTCAAGGGATTAAACTACTCAATTCCATAATCGCTTAGAATTACAGGAAATCACTTTCAAAATATGTTAGTAGACTCTAACCATCTAAGGAATATTTTTGAATTCTTTTTCTTTATGAGTCGTAAAAGTTCAAAATGTTTTCAGAATATACATCCCGACCGCAGCTGCTACCTTGGCGTAGTGATCGGGCTTGCCGATCGTGATGACCCAACCGAGCTATATTGGCTGGAACATATGTTCCTGTAGGTTCTACCATGTCAGGCAGGTCGATTGGAGAACGGTAAGACTAAAAGCACCAACTCAAGGTCTGAAGGCGAAGTCGTACTGCTGACTGTAGAGGGATGTGAGAGCAGTAAGGTGTTTCCCTCGGACAACCAGCATCTGCAGCGATGCTGCCTTCTCACAAGGAAGGAAGGGTTAGAAAAGGTTGACCTTAAAAATGTCACACCTCACCTTACCTCACGTATTTCCGTCTCCAGCGGTAAGGCCTTTTGAAGAACGGAGCTAACACAATAAATACCTCCCACAAAAACGCCGTGTGTCACTGACCTCAAGCAGTTGTCCCTTGGGCTCTGCGGTCACGCTCCCAGGTCGTTAAGACCAAAACTAATCAGACTTCCTTTTTAGGTTCCTCAAGAAATACCCTTCCACGGTATGAGCAGCCGGGAAGTGATATCAGCCCTCATACCCGTAACAGCACACGAAGCCAAGTAGATCACATTCAAATCCCTCCTACACCTCCAAATAAATCTGCTATCTCCGCGACTAACCTTTCTCACGCCCCTTTACCACCTCGCAACGCGCGTATTTGGACGTAGGAAAGACACTGCAAAGAAACCTCTTAGGGTCCACCTTAACGATTCGAGTACGCGGAACGTTATCCCTGGTCTCCTGAAACCACGCTCTAAACTACACGTAGGAGCTCTCAACGTCCGATCACTGTGTCAAATAAGACAACAGGCTTCCTTAGCTAGAACTTTAGAATCTCGCTCCATCGATGTGTGCTGCGTCTCCGAAACGCGCACACAGGATCCGAGTAGTGTCATTTATTTGACCTCACCATGTCAAAGTAATAAACCAACTCGATTTACGCTTCGTGTATCTGGAAGCCCTGATGCTGCTTCCCGTGGCCTTGCTGGCGTAGGTATAGCATTGAGTCCTAGGGCAGAACTAGCTCTCTTAGACTGGATCCCAGTAGACAGTCGTTTGTGCTCTGTCCAACTAGACGAAACAGTAAGGACTCGGAAAGATAGGGATACTCGTCGATGCTTCTTCGTCATTTCTGCCTACTCTCCCACTGACTGCAGCTCAGATGATGTAAAAGATGAGTTTTACAGAAAGCTTTCCGACCTTCTCCGAAAAGCTAGGCGCTCTGATGTAGTAATAGCGGCTGGTGACTTTAATGCTCAAGTAGTTAAAGTAAGCGAAAGGGAAAGACACCTAGGTGGATCTTATGGTGTCGCGGCTCAAAGAACAGATAACCGCCTGTTTCTTGCAAACACTAACTTTAAGCATAAGGAAAAACATCTTTTGACATGGCGACCCCTAATTCGTCCCAAAGCTGGACCCAAATAGATCACATCGCTATCGGCCACCGATGGAGGGGCTCGATAGAAGACTGTCGCTTATTCCGGAGCACATGCTCAGACTCAGATCATGCTCTAGTGCGAGCTCGTATTTGTCTACGCCTTACTTGATGTAGGAAAGATGGTGCAAGGAAACCCCTTAGGGTCCTACTTAATGATAGTCAAGCTGAGAGTGTATATGAAGAACAACTAGAAAACAGTTAGGTAGTCATGTAAGTGATGTCCACTCTGAAGCAGAGTGGAATTACATCCGAAAAGCTGCACAAACAGCAGTGATGTCTGCAATTACGGTAAACCATAAGGTTGGGGAGAAACACTGGATCTCAGCAGCGTCTACCGCACTGATAGATGCTCGAAAACTAATTCCATCGGGTTCTGAACATAACGAAGAGCGAAGTCAGATTAAGCGCAAGCTGAAAAGAAGCCTACGCAAAGATCGTGAATAGTGGTGGGTAGCGAAAGCAAGAGAGATGGAAAAAGCAGCGGCAATAGGTAACAGCAGACAACTGTTCAGACTTGTTAAGGAAACCGGTATTAGGAACTCAACTGTTAGCGAAACAATCTCAGAGAAAGATGGATATATTATTCATTCTCAATCCAGGAGATTGGATCGATGGGCAGAAAACTTTAGGGATCAGATCAACTGGCCTTCAGCCACACTTCGGTTTCCCACGATTTCCAGTCAGCCTGAATGGCAAGTTGATGTAAGTCCTCCGACTCTTTACGAAGTTGAAAAAGCTATAGGAAATCTGAAGCGTGGGAGAGCAGCAGGAATGACAGGTTCACCCCCGATATTTTTAAGGATGGCGGTCCAGTATTAGCAGCGAGATTGACTGAGGTCTTAAGTAGAATCTGGGAACTGGACGTAATCCCATCTGACTGGTCTCAATCACTGATTGTACCAGTCTATAGGAAAGGACAAAAGTCCTCCTGTGACAATCACAGCGGAATTAGTTTGACTAATATAGTGTCTAAAATATTAGCTTCAATAATACTTCAACGCCTAACCAAAGCTCGTGAAGAGCAGACCAGAGAAAACCAGGCTGGTTTTCGACCTGGACGTGG